AGTAGATATTTCTATTAGAATTGTGGGAGGGACAAAGCCGTATAAATTACGTGACATCAAGGCAAATCGTTAATTTAAAAATACATTCGTACTTATTTCTAGATTTTGATTGCTGTTATAAATTACAGCAAAAAATTACCCAAAAAACTGTAAATCCAAACGTCCTTCAAAAAATATCTATGGGTTCTTCCATGGTTGATTGAGGGACAGTGGAATTTTCGAAATAAAGCCACCCCAAACAAATCCAGGCAAGGAAGCCGACGTTGGCCTCAATTCGATTGTTTTAATTTTATTACCAGTCGTTAAACCAAAATAACGAGGGTGATGAATGGAGCCATTAAATATAAATGGCTTTTTTATTACGTGAGAGATAGGCTGTGGCAAATTCCAAAACAAATTCCATGTAAATATGAACTACATACTTTTCGTGAATATTTAATATTATTATTGCGACACAAAAAAAGGCTCAGGTTCGTACTAAAATTTTCTTACCAAAATACAAATTTATGGAATTATGTATGTCCCAAGTAAATTAATATAAATAAATACTTGTGCGAATATGATGGCGAGATTTAATTAACAATAAATATGTGTAAATTTTATTTTAATAGAATTTCATGTAATCTTGTCGTTTTCATTAATGTGTTCATTCATTTTATTTTTCGCATTATGTATATTCAGTTTTCAAATAAACTGAACTTCGTGAATATAAATTAAATCAATATTTTATTTAAGATCTAGCTGTAACACCAGTTTGTTAATCTGTGATTTGGAGGTGCCTGTTACCACTAACTCGGGGGGTGGCAATGAGGTAGTTTCCATGTCGGAGGGAGCGGTTATACGCCAAAGTTGGAAACAGTTTGCAATATTGCCTTATCAGGATGGGCGAAAGGTTAGTTTACATAGTTAGTACTTTAATTATGAATATTATGAACAATTGGTTTTTCTTTACTGTAGTTTACCCTCGGGACGAAATACACGTCACGGGAGGAGCAAGGAGAGTTTATCTTTTTGCATATCGAGGGCGACGACGACGAGGGAGGCAACGACGACAAGAACGTTAATACGGCATCGCTCGTGGAGATATTCTGTAATAATGGGCAGTTCTACATAATGCCTAATTCAGTACGTATTAAGATAAAGAAAATATTACCATAAAATTTTATGTGTCTATAATTGTATCTGTAAAAAAAATATTTAATTTTAGGGAGTCGAACTTTTAATCAATAATGACCCTGAGGGAAGGTATCGTCTCGAACTTAATTTTGGAGACAGATTGGAAATCTCGTGGCATGATGAAGTGCTGCAGTTGCTCTTCAAGGTGAGAAATTTCTAATATTTTATGCATGATAAAGTTTGGCTACTTTTAAAAGATTTATTTACTTATTTTTTAGGAGAGAACATTTAAACCAGACAATCATAATTGGTACGGAAAACGTGGACCGGGAGAAGTCGTCCCAATGGGTGATATTAATTTTACCCCTGAAAAAAACCAATTGGTATGTAAACGTTTAATATAGTTTTGTTAATTTACTAATTAATGTTGATTGAGCATTGCTCAATGAGCAATGCTCATTAATACTCATGCTAAACTCATGCTCATATTAATTAGTAATTAATATAACTTAAAATTTTGTTTGTAATTTGTTTACGTTTGTATTACGTAATTATGTTTGAAACTATTAATTACTCAATTTTTTTTAGATCTTGTCCAAAATCCTGTCCTATCTTCCCCTCCAAAGTTTGAAATGTGCCCGACTAGTCTGCAAAGATTGGAATGAAGAGGGGTCAAGACTTTTACGAAATACGGGATTCGCCACTTTCAACAACGAACACGATTACGGCAACTACATCCAGGATGTCAACGCCTCTATGAAGTTTCTCCAGTACATGGAAGAAATGCAGAACATGCCCATGCACAATTGGAGGCTGTACATTCCGATCTTTGAACTTCACCCGGTTCGATATCCAGAATCAATATTAGACAGTGTATTTAGCATCCTTCCACACAAACCGGGAGATAAGTATGTCGCAGATTTGACCTGGTTTCTTCACCTGGATCGGGGACACCACATCAAACGACTGAAGCTGCATGGCCGAATTTTCTCCAACTTTGACTACAAAATCTTTCTAAAAGTTGTAACGGCTCTGCAAACAACTTTGCAAGAATTATATTTGCGCTTGTACTTCTACTCAGATGAAGAGTATCAACCTGAAGGAAATCTTCATTTCAAGAAACTAAAAGTCTTTTCTTTCAATTTTGAGCATAATCGGGATCTGGACCCGTTGAATCACGCCTATTTAGCACCATGGGCTCCGGCAATTGTGGAGGCGGAATCAATCGCAATTTCTGGATGTCCCGTAATGACGTCAATTTTGATGAAATCTTTGCAAGAAATTGGACCATTGTCATTTCCTAAATTGACTGAATTTAAGATGACGCTATTCTCAAGACGCGCCCAGCCTTCACTAGGACTCGATTTTCTCCTCGGATTGAAACAACCACTGAATAGTTTAAGTGTATCCGAACTGCTGAGAATGGAGGATTTCCGCAAGTTTGAAAACCTGGTGGAGAAAAATGCCGGAAGTTTGGAAAACTTGGTAGTAACCGTGTCAACTCAAGTAGACGCTAAGACGGGTTTGAAACTTCAGCTCCCTGCCCTGCCCAAGCTGCGGGATCTCTTCTTTGACGTCGAACGGGGTTTGGACTATGATAAGTATGGCAAGAGTGAGGCCAAGGTGGGGCTGAAATTTCCGGGGGACACGGGCATCGTTAAGTATAAGGCACACCTTCCATCCATACGTTCAATGAGACTCTTCCCGATCGATGAATTTGAGGATAGTGTGTCTTGGGAAGATTGTGGGGATTTTTTCGACACATTCCTCCCAAAAAAAGACGCGGCTTCTTTGGATCAACAGGAAGTGTGTAAAACTTTGAAAATTTTGGATATTCCGTACGAGATTGGGGACAAGACAAAAATCCCGTTCCCACGAGGGGCTGAACTTGCAGTCATGTTTCCAAATGTGGAGAACAAGTTCATGGCAGAATTTAGGAACAATCATCCCAAACTGGCAACACAAATGGGTGTGATTGAGAAGATGAATTAGATTTGATAATTATTCTTGCCCGATTGGTGTAAAAACTTGGTGATTTTACTTTTTCAGAATTTCATTTTTTAAATTTTCTTAGAAAACTCATCCACGTTTCCTAACTCCTTCCATTTAACATTAAACATCCCTGAACTTAATTAATAATAATTTGGTCTGGTTTCATTAAATTGTAATTCTTTTTGGTTTGTAATTAATCTTTAAATGTTGTATTGGTTGAGTTGTGTTTTGTATGAAATTTCGATACGTGATTGAATAAAGTTTGGGAGAAATTCCTTTATTTGAAGAAAAATAAAGCCCAAAATTTTTAAATTTGTGCGAATCCTTATAATACCATCGGATACAGTGTATGTTGCAATAAAAAATAATATCATACCTATCATATAAATATTTAGTCACAAACTAAAACATATCTGTCTCGCATCCCTAACTATTTTAAATTATGAATGTTTTACATTCGTCACGTATGTAGTACAAGTTTCTGTGAGATTTTGAAACTTACAAATTTCATGCAATTTCAAATTCATGTCGTCTCACATTTAATCTGCCGTAATGGCTTTATCATTTTTCTCAGAATTTATTTCCCCCTCAGTTCCACTGTGATTATAAATGTTTAACAAATAAATAACTTAGAATGATGCAGTCTAGACTGAATATGTGGCTATGCAATTTACGGATGTAGCCAGCATATTGTTCACAGATTGCATTGTTTAAAATTCACATTCAATACAAACTAACGCATACTTTTTCATGATAGTCAGGTTATAAAATAAGGTGAGATGCATACTACAACCAAAAAGTTTATATCTTCTATACAAGTTTAATATTAAATCAACTTTATTTCTTCACCAGTAGTTACACAACGTTAATTTATGCTCTTTCACGGCCTCGCTCTCTCCACTAGAGATTCGTGGAATAATTACTTTCAGAGAGGAATGGGTGCCATCCTGACGCTGTTTCGCATTGAACCCTCTCACGGTCCGCGTTCACTGGGAGGGTGTATTTTCGAATGAAATTGGCCTTGACCAAACTCCCACGGCGAGAACCACTCCCACCAGAATTTGATTCATCCTCGACACATCCTTCTATAATGACGACGTCGTCCACGGTCTTCACGCAAATTTGGTGGGGTTGGTAATTCCCGATTTCTAGGGTGACCTACGGATCATGGAAAAGTTTTGAAAAAAATCTATTTTTGTATGATAGACATGTATGTATGTATGGTACAGACATGGCATTTATACATAAATACATGCAGATACGCACCTCAGTCATACCTTTAAATTTAATTAAAGAACTCAGATTAACCTTGGTATATTGTTCAGTGCATAACATAACTTTTGTCATTCCCTTTTGTAAGAAAACTTTTGTCAAATAATTACGTATTTTTTGCAATTTTGTCAAGCATGAAGTTCTCATGATCTCATTTAGCAAACTTATTTCACCAAAATGTGTAAGCGAGTTGGGGTCTGGGGATACAATATTGCCGTAAATACTCCTTGCTATTAGGCAAACAATTTTTATAGGTTATTTTCATATATAGGAAAATAGCCGAAAGTAAAAATCGGATTTTCAAAAATTTCAGGTTCCGAAACTGTATTTGACTATGTATCTCATAATTAGAGTAAAAACAACTTTCAGAAATTTTCATAAAATCCTTCTTCATGAGACTTCTTGCAAAATGAATTTTAACTGCTCCCCATTAATTAATTAAGCCGACATTTAATGACACATAATTAATTCCTCACCGTGAACTTATCCTTGCTCACAGCCACACCCGACGTCTCCTTCCCCAGTTGAAATGACTGGGCCCAATTCGGCAAGTGGAAAAATGATCCCAGGGCGTGGGTCACTTTATAAAATTTCCCCTCCTGCTCCTCCCCCTCCAGGGGTTACTGCGCTACGGGCACATTGATTATGAGATATCCGTCGCAACCGACGTCCGATGTCAAGTCGTCAACTAGAGCTCCCTTCGGAAGTTGAATTCTGCGTTCGAAAGATCGCACGACATCGTCATCCTGACTGGAATGGTGTCCTTCAACGATGACGAAATCGTCCAAAGTTTTCACGCTGATGTCGTCAGGCCTAATTTATGTATAAAAAAAATTTAGTGACAGTTACGTTGTATGTAAGTAGATACTTGTAAAGTTATTAACTGCAGCAATTTTGTGTAAGAATATTAATACAAAATTCGTATGTTATTAGTTATTATCATTATAAATAAATAAATATTTTAATTTTCAGAAAACTTCTCGTGATTTCTATATCGTCTGATTATTAAATTTTATGCAAACTGGAGGATTACGTTGGTCAGATTATAAGTTGATGACGGATACAGGAAATCGTACGATTTTCGTAATTTACCTATATTTATTTTGCACTGGTGTAAAAAATTATGCAAAAAAATTTAGATCCTTAAAAAACATTTTTTAAATAAAACAGAAAGTTATTACGCTATTATCTAGCATTTCTCACCTGAACAAGTGAATGTCCAACTTAACACTAAACCTGTCCTTGAACCTGGTAATATTCGCGATTCCAATCTCCTCCGCCGGTAACGTCCTTCCGGTCGCGGGTGGGATGGACCGTCTCGGATAAACGGGTTCATAGGTCTCCACATTTTGTGGGAAATGATGCGAAAGAGAATAACTGCGAGACATTTTCGGCTTAAACTGCAATTTTTTTGCTAAATTTCCCCAGTGTAAGATTAATCGTGCAAAAAACTTAACCAGACTGATCAATCTGCACAATAGCAATCTCTTTCTCCGCAGTGTAGTAATTTGCATGGAACGTGATACCACGTAAATTAAAAGAGATAAATAATTAATGTCGAAATTGAGTTGCTTTCATAGCCAACGTCATATCACGGTTTTCGTTGTCTGTGTAAGGTGATTATCAAATATTTTCTTCATGTTGGATATGGATGAAAACCTTCTGATTTAGAAACGCCTATGTCTAGATATTTACAAGTTTGCATATGAATATAAAACAATGAATAAGGCCGTAATTTTTCATATATATTTATGAACACTGAAAATGCTATACGTGACTTTCTGCATGAACTAAATACGTATGTTAATACATTTGCCGTGGAATCAAATTCTCTGTTGTATATATAAGCCTTTGAAACAGAAAATAAAATGTTACTTATTTTCACATATATTTTAACGAGATCATTTAGTGGTCTGGGTTTGTGAAAATTTCCATCATAACATTTCATATAATAATTACTACTCGGTCATCAATTGAGAATTTTAACATACACATTTTATGAGTAAAAAACTAATATTTTTACATAGTTAACTTTCTAAAAACTTTATGCGGATGGGTCAGCACTGTCTTCTTCTCCACTATCATATTCCGAACTTCCAGCTCCACTTTCTGAAGATGACGCCATATCTTGATTATCATCTGATGACGAGAGGGATGGAGTGGGGCTGGGGCTAAAAGAATGAAAATATTTAAAAAAAAAACTGTAAGTAATGATTAGTCAAAACGCTTATAAATAAACATGTAAATATTTACTTACATTTTACGAAGCCTGGCTTTAACATCTGTAACAAACTGTGCTGCTTCCGGTTCGCTGGGAAACTCGATCGCCCAGGTTGTGATGTCCACCAAAATATTGACCTGTTTCCGATTAGTCTCGTCCACGCTTATCAATGAGGGCGAGGGCGCCGTGTTTTTCAAATCGATGAGAAGGATGGGCTGGAAAATATTTTATTATTAGTTAAAAAACGGTATCAAAATCGGAATTATCTGCTCTGAACTTCTTCTTTTTCAAAATTTTATTAGTTAACTAGTAATTTAGTTCTAATTTTAAGTCTAGTGTCGACCTAAATTGTATCAAAATGTGAATTAAGTGTTAATTTGTTGTTTTTTTTTCGACGTATATCTTTCATCTTTTGAACACTAGCTGTCATCTATTTTAGTTAAGTTATGACATACTAACTTTATTAATCGACAAGTATAATTGGATAAGTTCTATTCTAAAGTTAGAATAATTATGTTCATCAATTGATAGACAAAATTTCTGCTAAATTATTGATTCAGCTATTTTTCTATTACAATATTGTAATAGAAGTATGGCTAATAAAGTGTTATTATTGTTATTAAAAACAGTTATCAAAATAAATATATTCTTTAGTAATAAAAGTTTAAAAAATTTACCTGTAAATAGCCCAATTTGATACTGCTCTTACGCAGGTGAATTTCCACATGGTTTTCGCCACCGGATGGAGGATCCGTGGAATTATTGCTATGTTGTCGGACCGTCACTTTTACCATAATTTTGGCTTTTTTACTTCGGAATCCGCCAGATTTACGGTGACGTCGCTTTTTAGTGCGGGTTAGACTTGTGGTTGGACTAACGGTTGAATTTTTTCTGCCGTGTGAACGTTTGCAGCGATTAAAATCGTCTGCAGTAAATTTTGGAACGACAAACATTGTGTCGCCGTAAATATTTGAGGTATTGAACTTCCCGCATGCAGACAGTCTCACTTGTCCCCTTGTATGCTGTTCACTAAAGTATTATTTCCCAATATGAGAAATTGTAAAAAGTTCACAAAGTTAAACTCACAAAAAAAATAAAATATTTTGCAAATTGAAGATTTTTTAATTAAATATCTTCGGGTCATTGATGATTTAAGGGTGTAAGGTGGAACAAGGTTCATGAAAAGCTATTAAATATAATTGCACAGACTTTTAATTGATTACTCAATTAATTAGCATTTCTCAACTGATTTTTAAGTTTATTTAGTTTATCAAAACATTTAAACAGAACCAAATACTAATTAATGATATGAATGAATGATATTTTAACCACTGAATTAATTAATTGAAACTATCACTTTATTTCGATAGGCTATACTAAATACTTATACGAACATGAAATTCTATACACAGTTGTATTAACTAATTACGAAATAATTCCACATCGCCGATTTTTCCATAACGTACAAAATCGCGTCCTCGGGAAAATTGAAATATGTAATAAAAAGCATTTTGCATACTTGGTAGTTAACTTACAAACCACTTCTTATCAATCGCCAATAATGCCGTGATCGTGTAATTCACAATACCCGAGTAGTACATCGCCTTGACAGATTTCTCACACCTGTACATTCTAAAGTCAAGAAGTACTCCTTCAATACAAATTAACCGAATCGCCTTCAGCTTTCGTACTAAATATTTCTTGTTCACGCTTCTCCCCACGAGATACTTCCACTTTTCCAGAATCACTTTCCCATTCTCGTTTACATCCACCATCATCGGCAACAACAAACGGATCAGGGCGGGAATTAAAACAGACAACAGAACACAGCAAATGTACAACACGGTGGGAAGGATGCCGTGAAGTTTTATGGATTGGTAGTTCATAATAACACAAAATATGATCCCAAGCAACATAAGGCCACTAGTTCCCAACCCAATTACGACTCGAGCCATAGCAACTACAATCCTGAGAGAGTTATACTCTACAAAGTATTTGTCCACTTGGTTCATATTCTGCAGCAAAATATTTTCACAAGTCGTCCCTACCGTTTCGATGCATTGTAGGAGCAAATGCATCCAAATCGTGGCAACAACAATTACACAACAATAACCCCGACTTGCCTGGATGCATGGGAAAATCTGGGTTAGTCTCAAAGCCAACCATGCACAGTGGTTGGAACCGGAGAGTGAATTGATTTGTTTCCTGGCGAGGTAGAACGGGTCCATTTTAAAATATATGGCCGCAAAGAGAGCTAAGAATTGGTAATATTGGAAAAAGTTGACTACAATGGTTAACATGGTGCCTGTGATGTCATAACGTTTGGTATGATTTGATTGGTGTGAATCTGAAAATAAAGAGAAAGAAACAATTGAGAATTTCAAGAAATCATGGATAACCAAGGCTCGAAAATATGTCATTGATATTTTCAGGATTTTAATATAGTCTCTACAGCATATTATGACTACAGGCAGTAGGGTATGGAAACTTTGTGCAATCCCTAGACATAACCCTGATCCCAGCAATGCTTGAAAGAGTCTTTGACACTTCACGACAAGAGGACATATGTAGAATGAATGACTCATCACGCTATAACTACTACAATGAACTTACTACCGAGACACCTCGTCCTGCTACCTATCTGACGTTGAACTTACCATTAAAAAAAATGACACTAATTGCTCAAGCCAGACTTAATTTAGTATCCTTTTACCATGATAAATTTAGACACAACCTAAATGTAGAAGGAATCTGTAATATATGTAGTTGCAAAGAAGAAGCTCACATTTACTTTGGAATTGTCGTATTTATGGTGCCAGTAGGATCTGGATCAGACGCTTGGAACAAAAAAAGGAAAATATCCTACAATGTAATACAATCAGTCATATTAATTCTATCTGCAAATTCTAAAATGAGACTTTAAAACTGAGGAGAATAATGATAGAAGATGATAACACTACTAACTCAACTAATGCAAATAAATAAACATCTTATGATACAATTTATACTTGGACTCCGGTTAAATATATAATGAAACTCGGTAATAATCTATAATTCTATGGGCCATGAGCCTTATAAGAATTTTATGAATAAACTTATTATTATTATTATTATACAGCGTATTATGGTTTGAATGCGAAATGCTCAATTTGAAACTGCAGACTAGGAAAAGATAAACTAGGGATTAGTGGTTAGTACTCGAACCCAAAATGTTCTAGCTAATTTAAATATAAATGCATTGGGAATGATCCATTTCGTGTTACAGGTACATATGGCAGCCAGTTAAGATCAACCCATTGCGTTAGTAATTTAATGTCAATCCTTTCTATTATTTCTTCAATAATTAAATTTAATGGCTATCAAAGAAATAAAAATATACCGACTGACCAATAAAGGTTTATATCTTGATAACATGTACAATTTATGATTTAACTCACGTGATTGCGGCTTCTTAGCACATATTATCAAAGAATTTATTTCCCGCACAAAATTTTGACTGACCAATAGAACTATGACTTCCGTGAGGAAACCACCCGATCCCATCACGAAGATTGCACCAGCCACCAGAGCGTCAAGCAAGCTAGGTGTCCCAGTACCAAATAATTTTCCCAAGAAGACAAATCCACAACATAAAAGTACCAGTGGAAGGAGGATAAATGAAGTGATTAAGTAAGGAATTAATTCTTCGCTAGTTGGATGCAAGACGAAGCATTTTTTTGTAGGATTCCAGTTCAAAGGACAAACCCACATGTAGCGATAAGCAGATGCGAATTTGTCAAGGGATGCCCACATTAAGGGAGTCACACCCATTTTAGTAAAGTAATCGGATGTGATAAAAAATGTTGAAATGAACTCCCCTGATATATCTGATGGCAAAGTAGGAACAGTTATAAGGATTATGTACGAAATTTAGTCGGCCGTCGGTCTGTCGATAAATGTTTGATTAAAATTTATCGATCCCTCCCAATTTAATGGTTGAACATAATAAAAATATTTGTTGAAGGTACTCCAAAAGTGAACCATACTAAATTATTTACCTTGATACTCCTCGGTCACATGAAGAAGACAGTTCAAGGTAAAATTAAATAATTTGTACTAAACTTTGTTTGGTAAAAATGCGTTACCTGCTTATGAGGGGTTTCGCTATTTTACTTTTAAATGACTAAAAATAATTTTATACTCACGTAATACACGCAATAAATATTCATGTAATTTATATAATTTCTAAAACATTCCAATTATTGATTATACAGAATATAAATTATTTTTGTGAAAAAACAGTCTTCGGTGACATTGTACGAGTCGCGAATAAAAAAAGAAAACAAGAAATTCTGTATTTTCTAATTTGACAGAGATCAGACAACAAAGGAATAATTTAAGACCTATAAAAGAATTTGTATTCAAATTACTGATAAGTTGCCTCAGCGTGGGCCCAACGTCTTTTGAAAAATTAGAATAATTTCTAATATCTAATTCCAACATCTAATTTATTTGGAGTTGTAACGAATTTACGTAGACCTGTTATGGTGGGATCATGAATACAAAATGTAACAGTGCCGATCTGTCTCAGAGTTTCTGCAAAACGTTAGGAAGTTTAGAAATATTCGCATATTTTGAGGGATCATCGTCTAATCAGTGGGCGGTATCTGTAAGAAGGATTTAATGTGAACCGTCCAACAGGTATGAAAGATAATTGTAATTATCGCAAGCCAAAACAATTAATTTTGCTTCAGTTGGCTTACTAAAAGGGATATAAAAAGCTTGTTAGTTTAATTTGCAACATAAATAAAATCAATTGGTCATTTATAATTTTATGGTCATTTTAAGGTCACACTCATCATATTACGGAGTTTTTTTTCTTAAAGGCAATGACCGACTTCATTAAAATTTGTGGGAGTGGTAAAATCTTTTAAGAGGAGTTGGAATTTAAAGAATAACGGAATTATTGATTTAAGAATGCCGCTTCGAATTATATATATACTTATGTGCATACACGAAGCATTATAACGTCAGCCACTTCACGCGTTGGAAGAACTCCAAAAAATGCAGTATTTTTTTACACAAGCAATAGTGCTATTACACTATAAAATACGTAATTTCGCTTCTTAAATAATATTCAAGAGACGTTGGGCCCACGGTGAGGCAACTTATCAGTAATTTGAATACAAATTCTTTTATAGGTCTTAAATTATTCCTTTGTTGTCTGATCTCTGTCAAATTAGAAAATACAGAATTTCTTGTTTTCTTTTTTTATTCGCGACTCGTACAATGTCACCGAAGACTGTTTTTTCACAAAAATAATTTATTTCGTAGTTTGTCGATGTAAATATAAAAATTAGCATTTCTAAGAATTTTAATTAATCGTATTTTTAAGTGTAACAGCTAATTTTTATCATACGCAAAAATAAGTGCACACAAAACGGCATGCCATTTTGCCATGTGGCTTTGCCGTTTTATGTGATTAACGTTACAGGGGTAGAAATTCGGCACACCACACTGGAAGGAAAATGTATTAATTGTATTAATTTAATTAATCATAGTTGGCAGTTTAATCCGGATTACCCAATGTTAAAGGTAGCGGTATTATGAATAGAGATTGTCAAATTAATTAATGCGGATTACTACCCTATTATTAAACTAATTAGTAGTTGTACTCCACATGTTATGTAACGTCAATTATTAATGGAAAATTTTTAGCAGTTTTAACATTTTCAGAAATTCTTAGAATAAAGTACAAATTATATTGAAAGATATAATTATAGATATTGGAAGATAAGATATTGGAAAGGCTGCAACTGGTGCAAATTAATCGTTATAGCTTGTTGTTGCAGTTTCGTGAAATTAAATTTGCAAACGAAATGTATAAATTGACGTAAACACATGGAATTGTCCGTATGGCACACATATTTCTACATCCCGTCACTTGTAAATCGTTTTCGATCATTTTCTCAAATTGCCCAGTCGTATTTCACCCCATGTAGAAATGTTACCCGCATGATTTTATCGTACTCAGGGGTGTCAATTATTGACACCCCACATGCAATTAAGTGATTTTTGACCTTTGACCCAACTACAAGGTCTGCGTGAGGTCAAAGGTCTAAAATATTTACAGAATTAAATTCTCCGTGAAATTTCCATCCAAAATGATATTCGTTATGATGAAAAAATTTGTGCAAAAATATTACTGCCAACAGGAGGATTAGAACACCTGGACTCCAGAACTGAGTCATCACGTCTATCCACTAGACCATCAAGCCTCATGCTTAAAGTACACGAAGTTTGTATCACTTATTTACAACTCTAGCATTGGTAATTTTTTGAAATTATCATCTCAGTCATTAAATTGACTTTGTACGTAAAAGTCGGTGAAACAAAAAAAAAATAGAGCTTGACCTCACAAATAATCTCAGAAACTATGAAGAAAATCAATTTAGTTTTAGGTCAAAATCAGCCGGTCCTAAACAATCAAAAATCGATTTCTACGGGAAAAACTCAAAATTTAGTTTTTCTGAGTCAGATAGAAATTAAGTTACGAAATTATGTAACTATTTTGTCTCTTGTAATTTTTCCCTCCGACGCATCGTTTGGACGTGAAATCTCTGAGACCTTTTGCGTGCTCACTCGGAATGGAATCTTCTGGCTTCGCCGGGCCCCAACTGCAGAGGTTTTTGTCGTTCGTGCGGGCCCCTAGTTTTTTGGCCGTTGCGTCACCGAAGAAAAATAGTAATTTTAGTTAATTTCTAAATACAGACAATATATTTTATGCTGATACATATGTAAAATTTCATTGGAGTGTTTCAAATTGTGCATAGATAGTCAACTAAAAAGTACATTGTAAATACATACATATACATAACCGTATTTTGGGTAGTTTATATCCAACATGTCCATATCTATGTGTAGGCATATGAAATACATAAGTACGTATATGTACATAGGTTTGAATATATTATAAAAACTTGGGTAAAATTGTTGACTAACTTTCTTCATTAATTCTTAACATGTCTATAAATAAGTTGGGGACCCTTCAGTCAAATATAACGATATAAATAGTTCTATGTTCCGTTCTATTGTATTCTCCAGTGACTATGTATAGCTACTGCAACTAAATGTACATAATGTAGATATTGAGCTATTTTTTACACGGAACTTTAACTAACTGAATCAGTACTATGGTAGGACTGGACACTACGTACATAGCCAAGCGGTGTCCTAAATCCTGCATGTTATTTTTTTAATAGCAAACTTGAACTTACATCTAATTTTAATATCAACTCATAACTGCATGTCGTAAGTTTTCAAAATAGTGTGAACAAATTGTCTAAATTGTCTGATATCAAGAAGTGATTAGGTTAAAATTATAGAGGTAAAAAATGTATGAAAATCGTTATAAATGTTTATTTATTTACGGAGGCCCTAGAGGCATTATTTGATATTATATTTATCTAATTGATCTCTAATTTCATCACTAGTGAAACCAGTGTGCGCTATTTGGCAAAAAGGCATGCCGAAAATTATGCCTTTTTGCCGTAAATGCCTTTTTCAATGCCGGATTGCCGTAAACCGTGCCTTTTTGCCGTAAATGTGCCGTAAATGCCGTAAATTAAAATCAATGGTGAAATTGTGAGACATGTCAACCAAGTAAAAATAAAAGTTGATTATTTGTCTAAAGTATTTATACATCGAAATAAGTTTCAGAATAATCCATATAATACTAATAGTAAGTAGTTAATATTGAGAAACAAGTAGATTCTAGGAAATCTAATATCATTTTTTTGTGTAGACAGATTTTTTGAATTTAAATTCAAATATAAAGACATAAATATGCACATACATATATATGTAGGTACGTATTTATACATTTAACAAAATTAAGATTGAAGTTAAGTTTGATTGTAGTTTACAATTTAAGTTAAAGAATTTACATATGTACACATATACTGTGTACGAGTGCAAATTCTAACTTTAATGTTGAAAGTTTTAAATCATATTTAACTCTTACAATGATATTTTTTGCTTTTACGAGTATCTGTAAACAATAACCGGCCTTTCTGACGGTACATAATTAAATACGTGAAAGAAAGAATTTATTGAACAGTACATCAATTAACCTACTTTGCATGAGAGTACTCTATCATTTTGCCTCATTTTTTGAAAAAGGCATTTACGGCATTTACGGCAAAAAGGCATGCATTTTTGCGATGCCTATTAGGCATTTACGGCACGTTTACGGCAGGCATGCCTTTTTGCCGTAGAGTACACTGAGTGAAACCAAGTGTTTGCAAGGACAACGATGGAAGCAAGTTACCCCAAAAAATTTAATTGTCCCAAATGCCCTAAAACTTTTAAAACCAAATCACATCTAAAAACATATCTAGTTACTCACGATGGACTAGTAAAATGCAAGGTAGGTTATAATAAAATCGTTCCCCACTTATGCAAGTTTATATATACAAACAAATAATCATTTATAAATCCCACAGATTTGTGGAAAAATTCTAAAAAATTTAAACTCCCTTCCCCTTCATTTATCTTACACGCACGGCAAAGAAAGTCTACCATGTGACCAATGCGGAAGACAGTTTAAATGTCCCCGAAATTTACGCCGACACGTCAATGCCGTTCACGGCACGATGAAACGAGACCGAATTCCATGCACATTCGAAGGAATGCGAGAAAACATTTCTTTATAAGAGTCACGTCATAACACATTTTAAGGCGGAACATGCCGAAAATCCTGTCCGATACTACTGCACCCTATGCGGGAAAGAAACTAAGAATAAGACAGACCTTGATCGACATATTGGCTCACATACGACTGAGAAAATTTACAAATGTGCCACCTGTGGATTAAGTTTTTCACAGAATAGCCTTCTAAATTTGCATCAGCAGGTAAGAGATTAGTTACTTTTGCTTAGTTAATTAAAAATTAAATTAAAAAATATGCCAGTTAATTACATGCTTGAACTTTGCAAACTTTTTCAGAGGTCGCACAAGGAAAAATCGGACCGTACAGTGTACACGTGTAAATTGTGTCCGCGCACTTTTCTAAGCAATACTGGCCGTTGGCTGCACATAAAACTTAATCATGGTGATCCTATTAAGTATTCGTGTCAGTCCTGCGACTTCCAAACGGTTTACAAGTACCGGGTGAAAAGTCATTTTACAACGGTACATATCGGTGGAAAGCAACACGAATGTTATTTCTGCAAGAGGAAGTTATCCACTTTTGCCAATTTTATAAGGCACTTTCAATTGCATACTGGCGAGAAATACAACATCATGTTATAAAATGTTTCTGCTAAAAGATCATGTTGCTTGAATTGTGGAATGAAGAAGTTCTTTTTCATTGTCATGGATAATTTTCTTCTCGTTGTTATGTATAATTTAATTCTGACTATCTAAAATTAACTGAAATTAACTAAATTTATCGAAATATATAATAGTTTTTGTTTGGTTTTTATTAAAATGATAAAATATTTATTCGAATTCTGATCAATGTGGTTCTCATAAATTGGTATACACCTGCCTTTAAAGTTACTGTACTTTTTAAATCATACCTTCGAATAAGAAATGTAATATTATTTAATTACCTTTCTTAGAAACATTAGCGTTAATCTCATTGTATATACATATCCATCTACGAATTACAAACGCATATCCATACATACATACAGGATGATTTTAGATGGTTTGGGATGAATTCTCAGCTGGATATCTCTGGCGCTACTTCCAATTTCGATTTGAAAATTTTAGGGCTTGTGGACCAAATAGGTTACGAGATTGGTGGATAATTTCAGCGCGTTAGTGTTAATAACGCCTGAGATATATGCATCTGAAAAAATACTCGAAACAAAACTTTTCCAAAACACCATAATTTTTTAGTTTTGCAAAAATTTTAAAACCCTGTGAAATTGCTCATTCTTCACAGAATTTAATGTGTGTGCTATTAAAATTTTCGAAATGCATTTGGCTTCCATAAATGATTCAAATTCCAAAATAGAATGTCACTCTCTTTGCATACCAGGTTGATTTGTGGCAAAAAGCGCGTGAGGAACTTTTGAAAAATACTCATATTGAATTATATTTCTCACACTGTTGAAATTTTTTGCATGATTTTATGTTCCATAGTTAGTGAAGACCTTACTTATTATAATACCATATGATTTCGTACTGTAAATGTTAAGTGTCATATTTGTCATGCATTTATAAAAAAGTGGTGATCCTAAAATTGCGTGATGGCCATTATATTTTGATCTCTAGGAATTCACTCAGTTAACTTTTTATAAAATTTCCAACTACCCCAAATTACACTAACCCTTGGGTATAATTTATGCTAAAACCTGATATTGTCAGGTTGTCTTCAACTTTTATATTTTTAATTTTATTTTTGGAAAATGTTTTTTTGACACTCCTTTACTTAAATGTTAGTAGGAGGGTGATTTTTTAAACTAATGACCTGAAAATTTGTACACACCTCATCTAGGTTTATATGTTGCTATGCCCAAAATTTTGAACCAAAACTCCAACGCGCCTTAAAGCTATTCAAAATTGAATTCATCCCAAACCATCTAAAATCAACCTCAGTACATTCATAAATATGTACTCATCCTCAGCAAGGGTAATACTATTATATCGTATCACATCCCATGGCTCGGCTGGCTTGGATTTGTACACATAAAAGTAACGTAGATAAGTAAATGTAATATAGTGCCATATGTTTCGTGCATGAAGCATATATGTAGCACTGTAAGTGAATACATACATGTACGAGTGAATTCTGATAATATGCAGACACACTCAAATCGCAAATCTACACAAAACCGATCACCTGATTGCTTCTTAAATAATATGCAAATCTAGAAAATACAAATTTTGTGAGACAATGCAACAATTACTTCAAACAAAACAGAAAACATTTCCACCTGCTTCTAATAAATCGGTGAGTATTGTTAAGCGTTAACTAAAGTAAATGCATATTTATACAATTAATAAAGATCTTGTGTTTGGACATTTTAATAGGGAGATGTACAAATGGCTGATCTAAAACCACCATGGTCAGCATCCACTGGTTTTCAACTAATGGAAGCCGAGCCACTGGGTAGGGGATCATTTGGAAGTGTTTTCAAAGCTCGACACCGCCTTGACTTTATTCCCTACGCAATTAAACAAATTGATGTACTGCCAGCCCTTTCAAAACTACGAAGTGAAAGTCAAGAGGATGAATCTGTTCGTCTTGACAAACTTGTGCGAGAGATTAAGTTGCAGAGCAGCATTAACAGCTCCTTCGTGGTCAGGTATCACAGTTACTGGGTGGAAGGGTCGGGTTCAGAGAAGGTCAAAATTAGCGAAATACAAGAGCTTTTAAATTTGATTTTGGGGGGCAAAGGGGATGAAACAGGCGAAGGTAGCAGTTATAATTCAGGTTAGTTGTTTTTCTTTCTAACTATTTAAATATATTTAAATAGTTCAAAAATGTTTACATTGTTGAACGCTAATTTTAAGTTTAGATATTGAAATATTTTACATTTTTCTAAGATTTATGGAGCTCATCAAAACCATGTTTTTCCCAGCACATTATGAATAACCGGACATTTATTTACATTCAAATGGAGTTTTGCAACAAATGACCCTTAAGGAATTTATGAAAAATGCCAGTGATCAGGAGAAATGTCTTGAGTGCCCAAGAATTATTTCACAAACTGCAAAAGGACTGAGTGCAATACATGCGGCAGGAATAATTCACAGAGATCTAAAACCCGACAATATTTACGCGACAAAATCCGGGGACAGAAATCTGTTTATTTGGAAAATTGGAGATTTTGGACTTTCGATAAAGTTGGAACATTCATTAGCATATGAACTTGGAGATTGGGATTTAATAAAAATGGATGCAATAAGTTCTACAAAGGAAGAGGAATTTTCATCTCAAAGTTTTAAAGGGACGAGTCTTACAAAAGCCCAGAGATGTATGAGCAGATGCCCTACACTGCAAAAACCGATATTTACTCCTTAGCTCTAACATATAGTTTTGTGTCATGCAAATTTCCTGTGGATTCGGATCGTATCGGGTATTTCTATGACCTGCGAGTAGGAACCCTTCAACCCAGCAGTATCGTCGAGCAACAAACAACAACTATGGATGACGGAACAAAAAGAAAATATTTTGAAGTTATCAAAAAAATGCTCAGCCTTAACCCAGGTGCGTTTTTTCATTTCCTGTTAATGATTTAATTAAATTTCGTTTAACGTAATGTTATTTTCACTATCAATATTATAATTCATAACGTAGGTTGATTACGGAAGTAAAATGAGTCTGTGGGGGTGGTTTTATAAGCGCCGGGTCATATGTATGTGGTACTCTCGAATCGTGAGTTTCACACGTGACCAGCGATGATGGCTTATTTGTTAGTATCTTATGTTTTACTAAAAGCTATATTTTATTTAAATTTTAGATGAAAGACCAGAGGCCTCTGAAATTTATAACGAAGTCAAGGATCTCTTAATATTCTACCGGACAGGAAACGAATTATCAGATACCACAAAAATCTACGGGAGGAAAGCTGAACTGGATAACCTGAATAAAATTTTTTTTGAAAGACAAAGTAATTTCGCAATTATAAAAAATTCCGGAAAATATTCCAAAATTGGCATTGGTAAAACTATGCTCGCCCACAGCTTCGTTTCGAACTCCCCGCATCTTCAAAACTATTCCAAAATTTGGTTGGAATCTTCAACCCAAGACTTATTTGAGGCGCAGTTATTTAATCTGTGCGCAGAACTAGACATTCCAACTAGAAAACCAGGTGCCGTCAATTTCATCCGAGAAACGGAAGACATCTTAAAGGATCTGTGCAATGTGCTTAAGGGAACCAACACAATAATTATATTAGACGATTTATACACGGAAGGAGATAATACATTAAACTTAACAGCAACAACATTGCCAAATTTATCCAAGAAAGCGAACTATTCTTTATTATAACAGCCAATTTTGATAAGTTGTTACCCAAGTGTTTGTCTCCATCTGCAAATAATTTAATAGACTTAAAACCTCTTAGCTTTGAAGACGGACAAGAACTACTAAATTCGGAATTGAAAGAATATGAGGACGACGACGAAAAAAATGTAAAACTTCTTCATATCCTAAACTTTAACCCAGTTTTGGATATGGGAAAAGTGACATGGAAACCCTGGCGACCTTTGGACTATCCATTGTTCATGTTAAGAGATTTAGCAACGAAGATGATATTCCAATAACAATTCTGTCTTTTTTGTATTACATCTATCCTCAGCAAGTATCAGTGGAGATGGAACGCAACATTTTCCAACAGCTTCTCCCAAACGTGTCCTACTCTAAAATAGAAGAGTTTTTTAAACTGCTGCATTATTTTAATTTAATAACTACTAAAAATGAAAATCGTGGGGATTTTATCTCCATTGCGACCGAAGCCTATTTTCTCTTAAATTTACCAAATGGTGAACATTTCCTGGACGAAACTCTTCACATTTTCCAATCCATGATGCCTATAACCACGGAAAGTTGGGTGCCGATTATTGCAACCTTAATTGAAAATGCAATGCCGTACCATTCTTTGGTTGAGAAATACGTTGACCTTACTTTCGAATGCAACTACTTAATGCGTCATACATACAAAAATTTCAAGAAATACTTACTTAAAAATTTGGGAGCGTTTAAAAGATGTTTTGGACCGCAACATGAACACACGCTTAACATGAGAAACTGGTACATATCTGCCATAAATAATGAAGGAAAGTTCCATCTAGCTTTGAAGGAATGGAAACGTCTTGAAAAAATATGCGATAAGAAGTTCCCTCAAAATCACTGGCTCAATATCGACATAAAGCAGCGGATAGCGTTAGTTTTCCACGAACTTGGAATGTTCCAGGAAGCTAAATCTGGGTTTGAAACTTTATTGGAAATAGAATTTGGTAAAGATAATGAAATAACAAAATTCAGGATTAAAGGCAATTACGCACTAACTTTGAAGGAACTGAATGAGTATGATCCTGCCTTATCCTTGTTTAATGAAGTTTTGGCATATTGGTCCAATTTGGGGGATGATATCGAAATATGTTCAGCAAAACACAACATCGCTGCAATTTACTTTGACCAAGAAAGATTTTCTGAGGCCAAAGATATATTTCAGGAGTTACTGGAAATTAGCACAAAAATGTTTGGGGAGGAGGATGCGGAAACCTTGGAAACGAAAATTTGGATGGCGAAAACGTGTTGGCAAATTTATCCACAGAACAAAAAATTAGCTGAGGCTATAGCTGATGTTTACAAACATGTTCACGCCGTTCAAATTAGAGCCTTAGGGGAACATCACCCAAGAAGTCTAGAAACTTTGAAGGATCTGGCTGTGTTTTTATTTGAAAATGGAGTGTATAATACTATATCGGAAGTTAAAGAGATGTTGGAAGTTGTACTGCAAGGCAATTTGGAAAATTTTGGGGACAAACATCCAAAAACATTAGGAACGAAATTTCTCCTAGCGCAAATTTCAGAAGAGGAGGGAGACATGGTGCAGGCATTACAAGGCTACAAAGAAGTTTTAGCCGGATTTGAAATAATTTATGGAGGTCTGCATCCATCAACTATTTCAGCAAAGGAAGGAGTGGGCCTGGTTTTATATGAAATGAAAGATTTTGAAGCGGCAAAAATTATTTTTGAAGAGGTTTATCAGACTAGAATTACAGTTTTGGGGAGGGATGATAAGAAAACGCTGTTTTCTCAATACAGTTGTGCGGATTGTTTAAATATATGTGGGGAATGGGATAAAGCTTCAAAAATATTGGAAGAAATTTTAGAGTTTGATGGACAAATTGAAGAAGATGAAGAGATTACAAACCTGTTTCAAGATACAAGACAAATGTTGGAGAAAAGCCGTACTTAAAAAATTAATACCTAACTGACTAATTAACTAATTGAAAAATAATACAAAATACCTGATGTTGTTGGGTTGTATTCCGTTAAGTAATTACGCAATTTTGTATTCTCCAAGGAAATGTAAGGAAATGTTAGATTGATACACAATTATGAATACGTCTAAGTGCGAATAAAATTTATAAGCGTACATTTGCTCAACAACAAGATGAACTTAATGGAATAATTTTCGTGGATCGTTGAATAGGTTGAAATGAGCTAATGTGGTACAATATTATATTAACCTAGATTTTAATCAATGTTATAAGTTAAAATTAAATTTTATCAATTTTGAGTTAATTTTAGCGGTATAGTTGTGGAAGTTGATGCTATCAACAATTTTTTGTCATCCTCAGATTATGTATATAATAATTTTATTGGTGTCTTTTTTGAGTATACATAAATACAGTGGATTCATACCCTGAAAGCTTGCTATGTATATACACGGCCATGTACATTTAATTACACGACGACGTTACCAGTTAAAATTCTTTTCTTCCAAACTGGTACAAATTAAAGCCTATTATGGATTTAGTATACATAGAAAGAATCATCAAATTCATTTTCCTAGATTTGTAAGTATACATATCTACAAATTAATGAATGTATAAATATTGGTACCTGTGTTAAAATGTAATACAAGATTTATGCTCAGTGAACTCAGAGTGAGAAACTCTGATGTCACTGGAATGTGATGACTGGGATCCGTTCCCAATTGAGTTTATGAATATTAGTTATAATGTAATAATTAGCAGATATTTTGTTTTTAACTGTATCGTTATAAATATGACTTGACTTCTGGTAATAAAAGTAGTTGTTAATCTAACTCTCACTGGGCAAGATTTCTTATCTTAATACGTTATCAGCACGGTGCGCTCATGAAACTTGAGAAGAGTTTCTGAGAAAAGTGAGACGAGATTTTAATAAACGGAGATTTTTTGGTATTGTGAAAATTACCACTAATCATGGCTAAAGTGATAAAGATAGACCACAGCAATGTTAAAAAGTTAGAAGGGTCTAGAAATTTTCCTCTGTGGAAATTGACCTTAGAAAATTTATTCTGGGCTGCGGGTTTAGAACAGGTTGTTTTCGGGAACGAAACAAGGCCTGCGTCGGATGCCGACAAACAAAAACTATGGGATGTTAACAATCGCGCTGGGATGGGGATAATTCTTCAAACAGTTGACGAGAAGTTAACTAGTTACATATTCTCCTGTGATACAGCAGCAGCAATGTGGACTGCAATGAATCAGACTTTTGGAAAGTCTAATAAATGGACTAAGCAGCAGCTGCTTCAGGAATTCTATCAGGCCAATTTAGGGGAACAGACTCCCGCTGAATTGGTCAATAATTTGCAAAATATCAGCGGACAATTGAGCGCCACGGGGTACAAATCTCTGGATGAGGATGCAATTCTCAGCAAAGTTCTACATGAGCTCAGAGGCCCACGATTTGACAGTTTTGTGTCATCATGGGATGTGGTGGCTGACAAGGAAAAAACCATAGTAAATTTAGTTCAAAAACTAAAAATCCATGAATCTCGTGAAGAGAGTTGGAATAAAGATGAGGTGCCAGAGAATTTCTCGGGCGTGAAGCCTGGAGGAGCAGATTACAAGCAGAAAGGGAAAGTAACGTCCGCTCCAGAGAATGGAAAGGGCAAGAAGCCTGGAAGATGCTTTAATTGTGGGGTCAGAGGTCATTTCAAAGCTGATTGTCGATCTCCAAAGAAAGAGAAGAAGACAGTCGCTGCTGGAGAAAGCAAGGAAGTGAAAGATACTCCCACTGACAAGTCAAAATCCTTCAGTGGTACCACAGACAAGGCATTCATGGTGAAAAGTTATAAGGCACAAGCACTTAAAGACCCGTTTGTCTGGTTTTGTGATAGCGGAACAAATGTACATATTTGTGGTCGCAAAGAGTGGTTCACATCATATGTGAAATTTGATCTGCCAATAAAATTGCAAGTTGCAACGAATTCTTTCGCAGAATGCCCTGGGGAAGGAAATGTCGTAGTGCAAGCGTGTATAAAGAATAAATGGGAAGTGGTCACAATAACCAAAGTCCTTTTTCTTCCACAAGGTGCCAATTTATTCTCACAGAACTGCATGCTGAAAAAGGGTTTCTCAGCACAGAGTTCGAGTGATGGGACTATTTTTTACGGTCAAGATGGAAAAGAGAGTCTCAGAGCCAGGCTGAATGAGGAAGGGATGCAGATTATGATTTTTAAGCCAGTTGAAAAATTACCTAAAGCCTTGTTGTGTGCAAGTGAGAAACTTGTACAACAAAGATGGCATGAACGGCTTGGACACGTAAATTTTAAGTATTTACAAAATTCATTAAGCAAAAATGCAGTGTTCCTCGGGCCACGAGATAAACTTGAAAAAGAGTACAGGTGTGAGATTTGCATTAAAGCCAAGGCCACTCTGAAGCCGTGTCGTACACAGAATAATAAAAATCATGAAACAGGAGAACTGCTTCATTTTGATCTGGTTCATGCAGTGACCCAGAGTAATCAAGGAAATAAGTATTTCTTGCTGATAAAAGATGACGGCTCCAATTACAGAGTGGCTTATTTCCAAAAGACGAAGGAGGCTGAAACCACTGTTTCAAATATCATGGATGCAGTGGAAATGTTTAGCAATCAAACAGGAAAAGGAGTTAAACGACTAAAATCGGATCAAGGGACAGAGTTTAAAAATCGCATTATGAATACATTTATTTCCGAGAAGGGAATAATTTATGATTATACATCTGCCGGATGTTCTCAATCCAATGGGAAAATTGAGAGAGATGTCAGAACCATTCGTAACACTGCAAGAGCTTTGTTATTCGAGGTGGGACTTTCTCCTGCTTTTTGGCAAGATGCAGTAGCAACTGCAATTTACACTTTGAATCGACTCCTTAGTTCAACAAACAAGGACAAAACCCCTTATGAGTTGTTGTTCGGCAGGAAACCAAATTTATCACACGCGAGAATTTTTGGTTGTGCAGCGAGTGCTCGCATCTTGACGCCGAAAGGAGATTGGACCACAAGAACCCGTGAAGGGATTTTTGTGGGTCATATTCCTGACACGAGAGAATATAAATTGTGGGATTCAGAGAAGAGGGAGTATTTCTTATCTCGTCATGTTGATTTCTTTGAGGAGGCAATCCCCCCTCGTCCCTCACCACATGATACGGGCAAAATGATTTTTGAGGAGGAGAAGGAGATTAAAGAATCACTGTCCTCAGTAAAATCAGTTGCTGTTCCTGAGACTCAAAATGATGATGATGATGTATTAGAAATACATGCAGACGGAAGATTCCAGGTGGAGTCCGAGTCTTCTGTCTCATCATGGGCAGAACAAATGGAGGAAATTTCTGCAGATGAGGAGGACGACTTTCATGATGCTCAGCGTCTTGATTCTCAAATAGGGTCCCCAGAAGGGTCTCAAATTGAGGAGAGTGATGATCAAGAGACAAGTGACGATGAATCAAATGACGTCAATTCACCCACCCCCACCACCACAGGCAATAGGAGGTCACAACGGACGAATCAAGGACTGTTACCCAAACGGTATGCCAGAGCCGTGCCGCGAAATTGTCAGGCCTGGTATGAGCTTAAGTGCCGGGCCCTTTCATAAGTTCAATATCTTCGATATTATGTTATCGTTTTCGCTCCAGAATATTAGAGCATTCTGGAACGAAGTAGATAATATTCTACGAGTATTAAGAGCAGATTATTTTCCCAGTTCCATGGGAAAATGGTGACATTTACTTGCGCTTTTAACTCAGCCATATTTTTGAAAACATCGGCGGGACGGAGAAAAATCAATTATATGAACCTAAGTTTCATAAATATGCGAATATGACATACTTTTCGCTACTTCCCAAAGCTTCCTAAACCCTTTGCGATTAATTACTTTTCTATCCATTTTAAAAATTTGAAAAAGTGCCAGACTCATTTCGAATTGGCGAAAATGCAGGTCCCAAAACTCAATTCCTTTTAGTTCTTAGACCACTTATTGTATTATTTCTTGAATTCAGGACATATTCAAAAACATCCAGTATGGTGAAAACCCAACGGTTTAGCTGAAGATACTTTTAAAATTGTACCAAGCGGTAAGAATAAAAAAAATAATTGTAAGCATTTGGGCCTGAAGCAGTCAGACTAACAATTCGATGACGCCAGCGGTCTAACTCCGATTTTAACAAAACCACGATAATTATGGAACCTTAGACAAATACTTAATAGAAAACGTGTTTCAGGATTTTTCACAATGCTCAGTTTAAACGAAATTATAAAGGAATCCGTCAGAGACAATTTCCATTTTGACCGTGACATTTTCTCGCGAGGGAGAAAAATACAGATTCTGGCTAACGAATTCCATCATAATTTCGCTTTAAAATGCGTGGGCATGAACTGGTTTCCTCGAATATGGACTGTTAAATGATGCAAAATTTTCTTGTCGTACTCTATCGGCCGCTTGGCCCGAAAGAGTGGTGAAATAAAGCAATACAATACAAAACTTATAATTTCGTTTAAACTGAACATTATGAAAAATCCTGAAACACGGTTTCTATTATTTGTAAAAAGGCTCCATAATTGTCGTGGTTTTGTTAAAATCGGAGTGAGACCGCTGGCGTCATCGCATTGTAAGTTAAGAGTCAGTTAAGTTCATATTTACCTAAGTTTGTCCCTGGGTTAAGCTAAATTTGCCCCCTATCAAGGAACATTTGAGTTGCCACAAAGCATCTTTGCTTTTTTCACGTTGAATTTTGCAAAGTTAGCATATCTTTGGTTTCAAGAAATTAGGTAATACATAGCATGCCCAGGCTACCTGTAAGTAGCTCTTAACTTTAAAACCGTTGGGGATAATAAAAATCTGATAGGTGCGTTGGATTCGTCGTGCGATTTTGCATAAAAACCACTAATCAATTTTTTAATTATTACAAAGCATATCGACAGGGAAAATATTAAAGGCACGCGGGCGGCGATAATTTTTCACCAAAAAAATGAGAGGAGAAATGGCGAATTTGAAAAGTGTGACAGGAATCGAACGTGCACTTTAATTTAGTCCAACGGACTATAAAAACGTTCGTGGGGACCAGGTCGACTAACGAGGGAACCTTGTATAGTGCCCGGAGCTCCCAGCACATTCAATATATACATGAGACGCGTTTTTTAAGACTAGTCCTATGATGTGACAAAATCTCCGTGTCAAAATGACATTTGGTCAAGCGGTGACGATTTTAGTGACGCGCCGAACGGTCACTTTCTCCCATGATTTCAATACAGCAGCTACTTTTCGCCACACGCTCCTCATCTTGCTACTGAATTCTCAACTAATTTACTCACTGAGCACACTGGTACTTAATTTAGCTATATTTACGATATCATTACAATTTACTGTTTATAGCTTATCAATATTATTTTTGCGTTCGAATTTGAAAGTTGCAAAATGTTCCGCGCAGTTTTTGAAAAACAAATCCCTTTACTTGTTTAAATTCATAAGAAGTTGATATATTTTTTCTGAATAGTTTTTAAACTCTAATATTTTAAAGAAAAAAAATGTTGAAAACTTGTAAATGGTAAATAAATTGTCATGATATTGTAAATATACATAATTAAATCGGATGCCAGTCTCATCGCTGAACAAATGAGTTGAGATTTCAGTGAGATGAGTGTGGAGCGTGTAGCGAAGAGGTGAAAGGGTCCTGCACTACTAAAAGCATGGCGACCGTGACCGTTCCGCGCGTCACTAAAGTCGTCACCACGTGACCAAATGTCATTTTGACACGGAGATTTTGTCAAATCATAGGAC